AATCACGGCACCAATTCAGTCAGAGCAAGCACTCTACGTTGAAAACGAGAGAATTTTGCTGTTAGAACTCCTGTTCCTACGAAAGCAGGTTGAGAACAAATTGACCCATTAGACACACATTATGTATAAAGCTAAAGATAGTGTTGTTTTCAGACTTGACACCGCGTCAATCGGTGGCAATTGACGCTACCTTTATAAAAAACATTTGCTTCTAAGATAAGAATGTTATTGTCAAATTTGTATTCTTGTGTTTGTTTTTGTTTTAGTAAGAGTTTTACGACGCTCGCAGCTGCATAAGGTCGTATGTGCGCGAGAAACACATATAATATTTAAAGCTGGTTGCATTTACAACAGTTCATTGCACGGCTAGGGTCGGGGCTAAAGAACTGAATGTTCTTACCAGTTGTTTTTTTAAAACAACTTTTGTTTCCCAAGATAATTAAAAAGTTATTATCAAAACTACATTCTTTAAAATATTGGCTTGGGGTGTTTGCGGAGAATTTGTTTACTAGGTAACAATGTTCATTTCTTTGGCTCTCACGTAAAATAGTAAAAATTGTACCTACTGTGTTTTTTGTGTGGGTTTTTTTTTTTTGGGCTTGTTTGTTTGTTTTTACTGACGGCTATGCTAACAAGGTGAGGGGACGAATAAAAAGATCTTGGCTTGATGGTGGTGTCAAGGAGACCCTGGTTTTAAATGAATAAACGAGCACAGTGTAAATAAACACACAATCAATTTAAAAGACGGACAGAGTTGACTGGCCTCTGAGAAAGTTAAGAATGAAATATTCATCCGCAGAGTTCTCATCAAAGTCAAAGACGGGACCCCGGGGTGTCTTGGTGCAAAGGCGCGGAGTGCTCTGTTTGTCAGTGAACAAAGGTTGACAAATTACACACGATTGGTCACAATGAACAATGCCTTTTTGTGTCCACGATTCGCGGCGCGCGTCGGTGGGGGTGACCCCGGGGTTCGAATCCCCAACGGGTTTGTGTTTGCTTTTGGTGTTGTTGTTGTGGGTTTTTTGTGTGGTTTTTTTTAATTTCGGTTATTTTGGGAGTTTTCACAAGTCTCTCACTCATTGAAACAGTGAAACAGTTCACTGTTTAGAAAATATGACAGCATAGACGCAGGGTAACAAACACACTAACAATGTCATCACTTAGAAGCAGCCCCCTTGTGATTTTTCGGCATACTTTTATCAAATGCTAGGGATGAAGATGATGAATTACTTCCAAATATTTGGTCCCTCTATGCGAGGAGTTGGGAATGAGGGTTGTGTCCTGCC